AGGGGAGGGGAGGGGGAAAGGGGACGCTTTTGTTCCAGTATCACATACACACAAAAATGTGTATAAGAACTATTGAATGTGCAACAAATCAGCTTTGTAAAATTTTACCCAAATCACATTAGAAAGTTAAAAGAAAGAAAGAATTTATGCTAATGATGGTGGAACATTTTGGGCAAAGATAGCAATAATGGTAGCACACCATGAAAACTGTCATCAATATCCCTGAGCTGTAAATGTGGATGTTGTTATGTTGGTGGATGTCTCAGTGTATATGTTTTCACCACAGTAAAACTAAATAAATAAAAGTAAATAAACCAGTGATGTGTAATATACATACAGAAGAGTGCACCAAGCATAGGTGCACAGTTGAATGAATTTTCACATAGTGAATACATCCATGTATGTTCCCCTCTGATAAAAACTTAGAGGCACCCCGTGTGCCTCTTCTCAGTTGTTACACTCTTGCAGTGGTTACTGCCAACTGACTTCTAATATTGTAGATTAAAATTATGCCTGTTTTTGAACTTGTACAAATGGAATCATGCAATATATATTCTTTTGTGTCTGGAATCTTTCACTCAACACTATGTCTGTGAAATCATACATGCTGTTGCATGTAGCAATAGTTTTTTCATTCTCATTGATGTGTACTATGTCTTAATTGCTATGTATAGTTGAATACAGTGTATAATATTTCATTATATCAATATACCACAATTTTTTAAATTTATTCTATTATTGATGAACATTTGGGTCATTTCCACTATTTAGCTGCTGTGAACATTCTTGTGTATATCTTCTATGTATATACCCAGGAGTGAATTGCTAGGTTATGGAGTAAGCATATATTCATTTTTGGTAGATATTACCAAGGAGTTGACAAAATGATTGTTTCAATTTATGCTCCCAGCTGCAGCACATCAGTGTCAGTTACTGCACATTCTCAGCAACACTTAGTATGGCTAATCTTTTTAATTTAACCATGCTGGGGGGTGGTGTGTAGAGGTATTTTACTATGGTTTAATTTGCATTTGCCTGTTGATTAATGAGATTTAGCATCTTTTCATATGCTTATGAATCACTCAGATATCCTCTTTTGTAAAGTGCCTGTTCATGTCTTGCCCATTCTTTTAATCAAATTGTCTTCCCTTTCTTATTTATCTGTTGTTGTTGTTGTTGTTATGTGCCGTCGAGTTGGCCCCAACTCATAGCGACCCCTCCTTGGGTTTCCGAGGCAGTATCACTACGGAAGTAGGATTGCCCAACCTTCCTTCCGAGGAGTGGCTGGTGGGTTTGAACCGCCAGCCGTCTGGTTAGCAGGCAAGTGTCTTAGCCACTATGCTACCAGAGCTCCCCTATTTATCTGTAGGAGTTCTTTATGTATCTGGATGCTTTTTTTAAATTTTAGGTATTACAAATATCTTCTCCCATTTTCTGGCTTGCCTTTTAATGCTTATAATGGTGTCTTTTCCTGAACAGAATGTCTTATTTTAATGTATACTGGTTTATCAGTCTTTTCCTATAGGATTAGCGCTTTCTGTGTGTTACTGAAGAAATGTTGGGCTTGTCACCAGTATCACAAAAAAAAATAAAAATGTGCATAAGAACTGTTGAATGTGCAACAAATCTGCTTTGTAAAATTTCACCCAAATCACAATAAAAAGTTAAAAAGAAGAAAGAGAAATATTGGCCTACCCTAATATCATGAAGACATTCTTCTATGGTATCTTCCAAATTTGCTTCACTGTTTTACCTTTCACTTTCAGGTCCAAAATTAACCTGTAATTTATTTTTGTGTATGGTGTGAGGTAGGAATCGATGCATTTTTAAACAATTTTTACATAATTTCAGATTTACATTAAACTTTCTAGAATAGTACAATTCCTGTAAGCCCTTCACTACGATCACCAGCGATATATAAAGAGGATAATACATTATGATCAAGTGGATTTCTCCCAGGAATGCAGAGTGGGTATTTACACTTCATTCTCTTGTTATTATAATGTGAGCCCTTGTCTTGGTCTCTCTTCTTCCCTCCACAAAACACATACACACACTCATTCATTCATTCAACAAAATTTCTTTGAGTGCCTACCATGTGTCAGCCACTGTTCTAGGTGCTGAAAATGGAAGTGACAAAGTTCTTGCCCTCATGGCACTTATATTCTGAAAAGGATACACAGAGTTGTGTTAACAAGCCCCCTAGTGACTCAGCTGCAGCAGTTCTGAGAACTGTATCTAGTGGAAAAAGCAGGACCCGAAAACTACGTGGACTTTTGTTTGGTTCGTTCAGATTATTGTGTTTTATTCAGTGGGAGCTAAAACATTATTTGTGAAATTACTAAGCTAAAGTCTAACCAGCCAAAACGCGCAAGAAACAAGTGCTTAGTCTAACAAAACCAGATTCATCAATACACAATGAGGGAGGGGATTCCAAAGAAGCCTTGGAGTGCTCTTGGCCTGAGATGAGCGAGCAGTGAGTTTTGCAGTTTTGGGCTCCAGCTGAAGGATTTTGAGATGGGAAGCAGGATTCATTTTGGATTGAATTCTGGTTCTCAAGCGAATTTAGGAAAAGACGGGATTAACTAGGGATTGAGCGCTGTCACGAGGTGACAGTGCTTTAGCCATTGGGAAGTCCAATAATGAGTGAAAACAGCCAAGCGCATCTGGATCATCGCTGGCTGCTTTTTTCTCTTCAGGCCGAACTGATCTTCACTTTTTCAGGCCTGGATAGGTTTGACTCTTTCAAATAAATTTGGCCAATGTTTAACTTTTGAAATTAGATTTTCAAGAATAATATGCAAGTAATTAACAAACAAACAAACCTCTGCAAAGGAATTCCAGTTCTGGTAGCCTAGTGTGCCTATGGCTAGCGGTTCACTTCCGTAGTGAACCCAAGGAAGGGTCGCTATGAGTCGGTCCGACTCCACGGCACATAACAACAATAACAAGGCTCACTCCTGTGACAAGAATCGCGGCCTTGGAGAAGGAGCCCCAGAGATTCCTTAGTGACACAACTCTGGAGACGCCTTAGCAACAGACGCCAAGCCTACTAAAGGGTCTGTTCATAGCCCTTTGCCCTCTCCCAGCCCGGAGAAAACGTAAAACCGGATGTTAATTGTGTTGTCATAGTAACTGACGGCGAATCCGGAAGTTACGTCAGAGGAAAAGGAAGTGAAGGGGCTGGAGACCCACGTGGGTTCTGCGTGCCTGGAAGCCGGTCCTTTAAACTACCTCTCGGCGACAACGGAGTCGACATGGGTCGCTCGGGGAAATTGCCCTCCGGTGTCTCGGCTAAATTGAAGCGCTGGAAGAAAGGCCACAGCAGCGACAGCAACCCCGCCATTTGCCGCCATCGCCAGGCAGCTCGTAGCCGCTTCTTCAGCCGGCCCTCAGGTAGCAGGGTCGAGACTCCAGCGGTCGGTAGCGGGGAGTCTGTGCCTACCTGAATCCGCGTGGGACGGGGCTTTCTGGAAGTTCCAGACTGCAGGGATTGGCGCTGTCCTTTCTTAAAATGTTGCATCTGGAGCCCGCCGTAACGGCTCACTCTTCCCATTTAGCAGATGGGGAGCCGGAGCTGGGGAGTGATTGGTCTAGGTTACTACTACTACGGGTGTCAGAGTTGGAACTCACGGGCGCACTTAACCCTGCTTTACAAAGCGATTTCTCCTTCATTTTTTTCCCAGGCGTCATGAGTGCAGCACTTTTACCTAAGGGTATCCTTTCTTCTTGATTTTCTGAGTTTTAGACGCACAGTGGGCTGATAAGCCCCTCGGGTGTGGAGTCTAGACTCCGCTGGTTTGTTTCGTAGGGCCTCTTCTCTCGGCTAAAGGAGTTTGGGGTGGAAAAGGGGCCTTACGTAGTGTCCCCTGTTCTCAGGGAAGAGCGACCTGACAGTTGACGCTGTGAAGTTGCATAATGAGCTACAGTCAGGGTCGCTACGCGTGGGCAAAGGCGAGACCCCCGAAACGGCCATGGAAGAAGAGGTGGAGCTGGCTGTCACCGAGAAGTCCTCGGGCACCTTCCTCAGCGGCCTCTCTGACTGCACAAACGTCACTTTCAGCAAAGTGCAGCGCTTCTGGGAGTCTAATTCGGCTGCCCACAAGGAGGTAGGAAAGCCAGCGTCGGGAGTCCGGGGCAGTCCGACTCAGGCTTTTTAACTTACTCTAGCTGTGGCTGGACTGCTGTCGGGTGACCAAAGACGGTATTCCTGGATGATGTGTCATCTCTCTTACCCGTTGTGTCCCCTATTAGCTGCCCTAGGGCAGGTCCAAAAAATAGCTCTGGTGGTGTAGTGGCTAAGGCATTTGGCTGCTAACCGGAAGGTCAGCAGTTCAAACCCACCAGCAGCTCTGTGGAAGGAAGATGGGGCACTCTACTTCTATAAAGATTTACAGATTTGGAAACCCAACAGGGGTTGCTATCAGTTGGAATCGACTGGATGGCAGTGAGTTTGGTTTTGAGTTTGAGGGCAGGTCCAAGGAGCAAGCCCTGGTAGTGCAAGTTTAGTGCTTAGCTGCTAACCGAAAAGTGGATGGTTCAAACCACCAGTGTCTCTGTGGGAGAAAACAGCAGTCTGTCTTCTCTCTGAAGGATTGTAGCAAAAAAAAATCCTAAAGGAGTGGTTCTGCTCTGTCATATAGGGTCACTGTGAGTTAGAATTGTCACCATAGCACATAACAACAGCAGAGTGGGTCCCACTTTCTGCTTTTTATAGGAACATCTCCCCCAGTGAAGTGTAAGGTTCTTGAGGGTAGAGCTAGCTTCCAAGAGTTTATCTCCTCAGCTAAGGGAACTTTTTACATAGCCTATTTTTAAAACACATTTCATGAGTAAATTAATGCTGAGTCACAGTGGTTAGAAATACTTTTATCTAGCAAGAACTAAGGATATATTTTGTATTACTTTAATATTTTTAAATTGCATATGTTTATTTATTTCACATTTTAAACAGAAAATGTTAAACTTCTAAATATTACCAAAAACTAAAATAAAATAGGAATATTGTTCTCCGTGTTTGACTCCATAGCAGAAATTACCATTTAGACATTGTTGTGTGTCCTCCTAGATTAGTGCTAGCCAATAGAAATGTAATGGGAGCCTCCTATGTAATTTTACATTTTCTAGTATCCACATGTAAAAAAAAAAGTAAAAAGAAACAGGTGAAATTAATTTTAATAACATTTTATTGCTTTTTATACTAAAATATGCTAAAAATATGATTCCAACATACCATCATATTAATGAGATACTGTACATCATTTTTATTATACTGTGTAAGCCTTCAAATCTAGTGCACGTTTTATACTTACAAGATCTCTCTATTTGGGTGCTAAATTTTTATTGGTAATGTTTGATTTGTATTTAGATTAGATTTCATAAAAGTTACAGGTGAAAAAGTAGATTCACATACCCAGGTTGTTCCAAATACATGTTTTTCAATCACTGAATCAAGTATTAGTTTAATTTAATTAATTAAAATGAAAAAAATTAAAGAATCCGTACCTCAGGCACACTAGCCACATTTCAGGTGCTCAATAGCCCCTTATCAGTAGTCCTGTTGGAAACTTTTTTGGATACTTTTTACCTCCATTTTATTATTTAGGTATTAAAAAAAAAAAAACTCACTGTCATTGAGTCGATCCCAATTCATAGCGACCCCTCCTTGGGTTTCCAAGGTGGTACCTCTACGGAAGTAGATTGCCCCGTCTTCCTTCCGAGGAGTGTTATACTAAGACAGTTATATTATATAGGTGCTGTTCTGCCGCTTTTCTCCCACTGAACTGTATTTCTAAGCTAATAGAGTTATTCCTAAGTCTTTTTAATGGTTACATAGAATTTGAACATAGCATTATTTATCATATAATACTTTAAAGAGTCCTGGTGGTACAGTGGTTAAGCACCTGACTGCTAACCAACAGATAGGTGTTTCAAACCCACCAGTTGCTATGCAGGAGAAAGAAGTGGTAATATGCTTCCAAAAAGATTACAGCCTTAGAAACCCTGGGGGACAGTTCTACTCTGCCCTGTAGGGTTGCTGTGAGTCAGAATCAACTCAACAGCAACCGGTTTGGTGGTTTGGAATAATACTGTATTCGCGCCCTGTTGATGGCCTCTTGGTTTTTCCACTTTTTTGCTACATTGAACACCTTGTACATAAATATTTGTATCTTGTACAGGTGTTTCTATAAGAGACAAGCATTCTAGTGGTGGAACTTGGCAAACGTGTTCTGAGTCTTCCTGTTTCCTTGGCCCGGTAGTGTGCACTCCTGGCTCTGAATGCTGCTCATCTTGTCTGTCTCTGGGCTTTCTCAGGAGGTTAATTTGTGAAGAAGCAAAGGAAAGAAGCTACTGTGGGTGGGATTAGGTCTAGGAGCTGTCACACGTGCCTTCTCCCACTTGTGCAGATCTGTGCTGTCCTGGCTGCCGTCACCGAGGTGATCCGCTCCCAGGGAGGGAAGGAGACGGAGACTGAGTACTTTGCTGCGCTGGTGAGTGGGTGCAACTTGGAGGGGGGCGGTTCAGAGTAGCAGGGCATGCAGGCTGTAGAGAGCAGACGAAATTGGAGGGTACCCCTAGCATGGGGGGATCTAGAAAGACAGCCTTTGATCAAGTGAAGGCCCATCAGTCATTCTGAGGTGGCTTGCTAGGGCTGGTGGTAATTTGCCATGTGATTTTTGTAACAAAAATCCACTGCTCTGCTTTCTCTTTCTTGATCTACAAAGGTGTTAGATCCAGGAGATCCTGTAGAAAAGTGGTTTTAAAGTGTGGTCCAGGGGTCCTTGGGGGTTCCCAAGACCCTTGTGGTGGTGTTGGCAAGAACATAATCATTTCTATAATAAGATATAAGAACATCATTTACTTTTCTCACTCATCCTTTCATGTGCGTACAGAAGCGTTTTCCAGAAGTTATATGATGTCTGGTGGCATCATTATTTTGAAAGCTGATGGAATTGTGCTTGTGTGTTCTTGTGTTTTAAAATTTTCTCAGTTTTTAATTTTTAATGTGGTACATACCACTAGACATAACCTGTATAACAAAACTTCTTTGAAGTCCTCAATAATTTTTTTTTTTTTTACTTGTGATTTGGGTGAAGATTTACAGAGCAAATTCACTTTCCATACAGCAGTTCACATGTACTTTGTCTCATGTCATTGACCACAGTTTACCACAATGCAACAGCTCCCCTCCCAATTCCTCCCCATAATTACCTCTTCCCAGTGTCCATCTCTCTATATGCTCCTGTCCCCTGAGCTGTCTCCCTGTGCATAAGCAGCCCTTCTCTCTCCCATGATTGTTCTCTCCAAGGAGTGTATCTACTATAGGTAAATGTTCAACTCATATGCCTGTATTTTGTTTGGCTGGAAACCACAGGTGTGGGTTCAATTCCAGACCTGAAGGGCAGCTAGGGGCCATAGTCTCAGTGGTTCCACCAGGTTCTATTGGACCAGCAAACCTGGTCCCCACCTTTTTTTTTTTTATCCAAATGATACTGAGTTTTGTTCTACATTGTTCTCCCTCTCTATCAAGGATCTCCTGCATAGATCCCCTTTCAAGTGGATGACAGTGGTAGCCGGGCACCATCTAGTTCTGGTCTCATAGTTGTATAGGCTGCAGATCGGATGGTGTACCAGTTGCTAGGACTAATTGTTTCCATGAATTTTGGTTTTCTTCATTCTTCTTTGCTCTGGACAAGGAGAGACCCATTGTTGCATCTAGATGGCAGCTTGCTAGCTTTTAAGATCCCAGTTGCTACTCGCCAAAGTAGGAGGTGGAACAATGTTTTGTATAGTATGTTATTCCAGTTGAGCTTGATGTCCCCTGCAACTATGGTCCCAAGCCTGCAGGTTAAATTACTCGGTCCCCCTGAGTAGCTGGCTGTGACCAAGCAGTGACCACAACCTTGCCCCTTGTCAGCTCTACTATACACCTGGGAATTCTGATCATTCACATAAACTTATAGGACCATTGTCTGCCAACCCTATATATGTTCTTGGATACCCTCCCCATTTCATAGACATACCTGATCGTTTAGCCTGTCTACCCATCTGTCCACCCATATACCCGTTGAAGTCCTCAATAATTTTTCAGAATGTTTAAGTTTGAGAGTTGCTGTTCTGGAACAGTGATTGGAAAGTCTGGCCTGGGGGCCAGATCTGACCCATGACTTGCTTTTGGCATGGCCTGGGAGCTAAGAATGGTTTTCACATATTTAAAGCATTGCTTAAAGACACACATATACCCAAGGAAGAATATGCAACAAATACTGTATGAGACCCAGATGCCTAAAATGTTTTATTTATTGGTCCTTTACAGAAAAAGTTTGCCAACCTCTGCTCTAGAATAATGAGATAGATTAGATAGCAAACTATAATGTTTATCACGTGCCGGGCAGTGTTCCAAATGCTTTGCATATATTAACTCAATTAAACCTCACAGCAACTGAGAAGATAGGTACCAGTATTATCCCCACTTAACACGTGATACTATTATTCCATCTCACAAGCTGCAACACAGAAAGGTTACGTTACCAGCCCAGAGTCAGACAGTAGTAAGTGGCAAAACCAGGGCTAGACATATTGTTTCCCTTCCCCACTCCCTGTTTGCCCAGAAGGACCCATTTCCCATTCATGTCCCCTGATCTGGCCCTCAGATGACAACAATGGAAGCAGTGGAGTCCCCTGAGTCTGTGGCTGCTGTGGCGTATCTACTGAACCTTGTCCTAAAGCGGTGAGTCCTTGTTTCCTGTATGTACCCCAGATCTCTTCATGAAGGGAAAAAGGAAGTGTGAGTGGAGGTGATGAGCAGAATCAGAGAATTATGAAAAATCCTTCAGTATCCGGTGACATTCTATAGCATCAGGCTCCAGGGGCAGCTAGGGACGCCATACCAAGGAGTGTGAGTGTTGGTGGTCTGGGGCCTGGGAAGAGGGGTAGCCTTGGTGCAATGAGTGGGGCAGGAAGAAAGGGCATGGACTTTTGGTACCAGGCCCTTGAGACCTTTAGCCAGGAGAGAGGTGGGAGAGAACTGATGTGAGCTTAGTAGGGCCTTCTTGTGGGTGTTACAGGATTGGGTAGCAGAGAAGGTCAGGGAGGCGTGGAGCTCAGGTGTGGTGGGAAGCATCCTTAACTGGGCATGAGGAATAATGAGCTCTTGTCCTGTCTTCATTGCTCCCCAGCTGAATGACTGGGCCAGCAATGCTGCTTCTTGTCAGTCTCCTACTTTATAGCTCACAGAGCTGTACCAGCTGTTCTCTGAAGGCTTCTGACCCTCCCTATCCTCTCCCTGCAGCGTGCCCAGCCCTGTTCTCATTAAGAAGTTTTCCGACACCTCCAAAGCCTTCATGGACATCATGTCAGCCCAGGCCAGCAGTGGGCCCACCTCTGCTCTCCGATGGGTTAGTGTCTGGGTCTGAATTTCTCCTCTGCCATCTTCCAGAGCCCATCTGATTGGGCTAAAGCTGGATGCTCCCTGAGAGGGATTTATGTGCTCTGTGATCCCTTTGGGATTTTCTAGAGTTGGTGAAAACTTGGTCTCTTTTCCCTCCTGGCTGAGACTGGTGGGGCTGAGGGGCTGTGTCTGCCTTCTTCAAGGTCCTCTCTTGCCTGGCCACTCTTCTGCGGAAGCAAAACCTGGAGGCCTGGAGTTACCCTGTCACCCTGCAGGTGTTCCACGGGCTGCTGAGCTTCACCGTGCATGCCAAGCCCAAGGTGAGACTGCTGGACCCCAGAAAATTGGGGGGGTAGACACACATCCTCCCCTCGTGCCAAGCCCAACCCAGTCAGCAGTGCTGACTGTCTGAGTGGGGTCAGAGATGTTGCACTGAGTACTGGGCTTTCACCCCAAGGCTCTGCTTCCTGCCTCTGAGGCCTCAACTACTCAGATCTAGAAGCGGAGCAGCTCCCCTTATGCAGGAGGGATGCTCGCTATTAGGCCTTCTGAGTCTCTGTGCCTCATCAGTCCACAACACAGGATCTCCAGCAGGTTTTTTTACATTAACAGCAGAGGGAGGGTGTGAGCATTGAATACTGGGGTCACTGCTTGTGGTGTGATCTTGGGCAAGTTGCTTAGTCTCTCTGAGCCTCGATGTCCTGACTGTAACAGGGATGATAATACCAATGTAGTTGCAAGGTCATGAAGAGACTCACAGGCCTGGGGCCAGCCCCTGTCTCATAGCAGGGACTCCGCATGTGGCAGTTCCCCACTCTGGTTCCTCCTAAAATTCAGCAGGGAGTGTGTAACAATAGCCATAGTAATAGTCGTAAGAATCACTGACTTATCCCACATGGACTCACATCTCCTCCCTTACATGTTCCCGTGGTTTCTCCCTCATTTTCTTCAGGTCTCTGCTAACATATTACTTCACTGGAGACTTCTTTCCTACCTACCTTATAAAAGGTAGCAACCTTTGCTTCATTTCCTGAAAAGTATTTTTATTTTCTGGTGTTTGTTTTCCACCTCCCAAGTGGAATGTGAGTTGTCTACTTCATTCCTTGTCATTGCCAGCACCAGGATTTGTTGGATGGTTGAGTGAATAAGTCCTATTTTTTAAAGCTGAGGATATTGAGACTTAGAGTAAGTAGTTGGTTAGAACCTGTTCTGGTTACCTAGTGCCACTCTGACAGAATTATGCCACGAATGGGTGGGCTTGAACAAACAGGAGTTTATTCTCTTATAGTTTGGAGGCTTTAAGTCCAAGTTCAAAGTGCTAGGTTCTAGGGGCTAGGTGAAAGCCCCTCAGCCTTGGGCTTCAGCTCTGCCTCTTGCTCCTGGCCCACTGGAGCTAGAGGTTTCTCTTCACTCAGACAGTAACTGACTGCTGAGGCTGACAAGCCCAAGGTCGCCAAATAAAATGGCATAGTCCCGATGTTACCAAACCACATGGCCAGCCATTCATTCAAGTCCATTGAAAGTCCCAATATCGGCAGACCATGGCAGACCGCTGAGCAATGACTCAGCTACATGCAGGATTCAAGTGTGCCATAAACTAGAGACCATTCCCAAAGCTGCTGCTTATATGCAGGAAGGAGACCACATCCCTAAAGCAGCTACTCAGCTGCTTGTGGTAGATCCCACCATGGAGCTGATTGCCAGTCTCATTGTGGGGAATAACTACCACCAGCTGCTCAGCCACTCAACCAGGCGCAGCCAAGTTGATACATAACTTTAACTACCACAGAGCCACTTACCGAGTTAGAAGTAGAGTGGGGATTTGTCTTGTTCTCCATCTGAGGATTCTATACACACGAGCCCTCTGGCATGGCATTGGGTATGTAGTAATGATTGGTGATTGGGTGCTAACCCAGCCCTGGCTACTCTTTCTCTGCTCCTCAGATCCGGAAGGCTGCCCAGCACGGAGTATGCTCAGTCCTCAAGGGCAGTGAGTTCATGTTTGGGGAAAAGGCCCCTACCCATCATCCTGCTGCTGTTTCCACCGCCAAGTTCTGCATCCAGGAGATTGAGAAGTCTGGAGGTGGGGAAGCCAGGTTGAGGGCAGGGGGATGGGAGGCAGTGGCTGGCCAGGAGGATGAGACCTGCTGCAGAGTGGGCTAGAGTCTCAACCCCATCCCCATCTGTCTGCCAGGCTCCAAGGAGGCCACAACCACACTACACATGCTGACCCTGCTGAAGGACTTGTTGCCCTGCTTCCCAGAAGGCCTGGTCAAGAGCTGTAGTGAGACTCTCCTTCGTGTCATGACCTTGAGCCATGTGGTGAGCTCTGGGCTGAGAACTAGAGGGTGGGGGCACACCAAGGAGGAAGGGGCAGGCATCCTGCCAGACCCCAGGAACACAGTGTGGATGCTGAGTAACTCACAGGTCAGGGAGAGCAGAGCCTGAGGTCTCTCTGCCCCACTGTGCTTGCCTGCTCTGTCTCAGGACACCGTTTCATCCGTGATGTCGGGCAGAGCAGGCCATCCTTAGAGGTGTGTTACAGTTGGAAGCTGGCCCCACAGGTCGGGTGAGAATGAGGCCAGAAGGCTGTGGAGCTGCTAAAGCTTCCTTCTCCTGCCTTGAGCTTGGCTCCAGCAAGAGCCACTAAGTTTTTCCCACTTTGTGCTTTTTGTTTGTCCGTCTGTTTACTTACTAACAATAGAGCAGCCTTAAAGATCATTTAAAACAATCTCTTGCATTTCCTCCATCCTAGCATCATTCTAAGGAGTCCTGATGATACAAAAGTTCAGAGTTCAGTTGCTAACCAAAAGGTGGCTCCATGAGAGAAAGAGCAGGTGATCTGTTTCCATAAAGATTGTTGTTAGGTGCCGGTGAGTTGGCTCTGACTCACAGCGAGCCCGGGTACAAGAGAATGAAACGCCGCCCAGCCCCGAGCTGTTCCCAGAGTCTATGCTGTGCTTGACCTCACTGCTGCAGGTGCTGTAATCAGTCCATTTGTTGAGGGTCTGCCCCTTTCTCTCTGACTCTACCAAGCATGATATCCTTCGGGGACTGGTTCATTCAGACAGCGTAACCAAACTGTGACGTGAAGTCTGGCCATTCTCACTTCTGAGGAGCGTTCCTGCTGGACTTCTTCCAAGACAGATTTGTTCACTCTTCTGGCAGTCTGGTCTTTTCAGTATTCTTCGCCAATGGCAAAATTCAAGTGCATCAATTCTTTTTTTAGTGTTCCTTATTCATTGTCTAGCTTTCACATGCTTATGAGGCCATTGAAAATACCATGGGGTCAGGCTCGCCTTAGTCATCAAAGTGACATCTTTTTTCTATAACACTTTGAAGAGGTCTTTTGCAGCAGATTTGCCTGATCCAATACAATGCCTGATTTCTTGAGTGCTGTTTTCATGGGCATTATATGGATCCAAGTAAAATGAAATCCTTGACAACTTCAGTCTTTTTCCATTCATGATGTTGCTTATTTGTCCAGTTGTGGGGATTTTTATTTTCTTTAGGTTGAGGTATAATCCATACTGAAGACTGTAGTCTTTGCTCTTCATCAGTAAGTGCTTCAAGTCTTCTTAACTTTCAGCAAGCAAGATTGTGTCATCTGCATAGTACAGGTTGTTAACGATTCTCCCTCCAGTCCTGATGCTGTGTTCTTCTTCATATAGTCTAGTTCTCCAGTTATTTGCTCAGCATACAGATTGAATAAATATGGTGAAAGGATACAACCCTGATGCATACCCTTCCTGATTTTAAACTGTGCAGTATACCCTTGTTCTGTTTGAACAACAGCCTCTGGGTCTATGTACAGGTTCCTCATGGGCACAATTAAGTGCTCTGGAATTCCCATTCTTCTCAGTGTTATCCATAATTTGTTATGATCCACACAGTCAAATGCCTTTGCATAGTCAGTAAAACACAGGTAAACATCTTTCTGGTATTCTTTGCTTTCAAACAAGGTCCATTTGACATCAGCAATAATATCCTTTATTCCATGCTGACTTCTGAATCCAGCTTGCATTTCTGGCAGTCCTCTGTCAATATACTGCTGTAACTGTTTTTGAATTATGTTCAGCAAAATTTTACTTACATGTGATATTAATGATATTGTTTAGTAATTTCCAGATTCTTTTGGATTACCTTTCTTTGGAATGGGCACAAGTAAGGATCTCTTCCAGTTGGTTGGCCA